CTCGACAAGTCAATCGTGATAGTAATATTCAATACTCATTTAGACTGCAATAGTATTTTCTTTCTAGACAATTACCCAGGACTATTTGTCATGAATTGGTACTGCCCGTTCATGATAAAAAGGGAGGTAACTGGCTCTTAGCACAACAGAAAGGAAAGTATAAATGTAAGGTTAGTAATTTATAAAGAGGTATATAAAACTGTCTTGTCTTGGTTGGAAGCCAGTCTAATTTGATAGTAACATCAGTTATGTTTAGTTTATTTTGTGTTGATATTTAGTTTATTATTGGGTTCATCTCTCTCCCCTCTCATTTTTCATCAGAGATTTATATATATATATATTTTAGCATCATTAAATTTTTACGTCACGGGGCGCGTTTTTGTTTTTTTAGGTCCCCCTTGAGAGGATGTGGTATTATGATACATAGAGGATTGATTGGTGATGGACGAGTTCTTGTGGTGAATGGGTAAATTGTAATGAGTGAATGAGTCGTGAATCGGATTAGCTAGGTATAAGATAGTTAGTGAAGATTAGCCTCAACCCCTGCCTTTCATCGGCCTTGTGCCATAATTATGTACTTGTACGTAATAAATATTCAGTCCAATTTGATAGTAGGACACTCTGAATTCAACACCATCTTAAACAGGGTTGAATTATAGGATACTTTGCCCTAGATACACTAACTGCTGCTATGTCAGTACATGTGATGCAACTGTGACCCTAATATATTACGGAAATTTTGCTCGTGATAGGTCTGTATATTTAAGATTCTAAAAGATTGTATATTCAGAGTTTGGTGACATCCAAGGTTTCGCGGGGAATCTCTATCTATAAAAGGCAGGATGTGCGTGTGTGTGTGTAACGAATGCACGACCGCAATTTTCGACAGATTTGCAACAAAATTTGCATGCACATGCTCCAAGTTAGCGGGAAGGCCAAGATCGACTTTACATTCCCCAACTCCCATCGGTAGTGGAAAAGATCGATTTTTTCATGCTTCTACGGCAGTTTTCATGTAGTTTGCGGTCATTTTCTACTGGCCAGAGTGAGTGCCTATAGCTGGCTGCCACAAATAGGCAGGAAGATTCTACTGGCCAGCGTGAGAGCCAACAGCTGACTGACACGAATGTTAACTAGCATGCTAGCATGCAAAAAAAATTGATAGCTGCATTCGTCACAAGTGGGAAAAATTTAAATCTGCATAGCACTTTACTCCAATTGGCTCATTCGCTTGCTTAAACTCAACGTTGATTCTGATTCCGCAGAACTGGGTTGGGTGTGTAAAAGTAATTGTTGTTAACATTATTTTTTCATTCGGTTTCTCCAGTTACGAGTCCTTTTTTAAAGCTGATCATTTTGTGTTCATTTTGTTTAGTTCTTTTTTCGTAACAGATTTAATGTTTAGTATAGAGCTTAGAAAAAATTCTCAGTGTGAGATAGGCAAGAAGTAAGGCATGTAGCAACATCAGCACGGCTAAGGGCACTCCTTTAAAGGCAAGGAAGGGCAAAAATATTTTAAGTCAAGTGATAGCGATTGCTGTATGGGTCGTACGATTTTTTAATCAAGCACGTGCAAGTCGAGCCAAAACAGAAGACACATGGCCTGAAGATTGCGTTCACGCTTTTAAGCATGAAACCGGCCGTCTCTGCTGGGTGTCGAGTTCAATTTTCACTTTCACTCACATACACACACGCACACACACTCACACACACACGCGCGCGTATATATATATATATATATATATATATATATATATATATATATATATATATATATACAGTGAGGGTAAACAAATATTCGTACACAAATTTTTATTTATTGTATTGTATAAAAGGTACTGGCAACATATCAGTTGCCAGTACCTTTTACAGAAAAAAATCCCTAAACCATGATGCTGCCACCATCAAATTACCCTGTTGGAACTGTGTTGTTTGATGGCATCGCCATCTTTTCTCTATACATGCTTTCTAGAATTTCGTCCAAACAACTCGATTTGCTTTTTGTCTGTCCATAATACTCTTTCTCGGTACGAATTTTCCTTATCCTTTTGTTCACGAATGGATTTCAACCTGGCATCTCTGTGTCTTTTCTATATCAATGGAGTTTTCCGAGGAGAGCATGACTTTAGATTCATATGAATGTCATTGCTTATTGTCTGTTTAGTGACAGATTCCTGATGAGGGTAAATTATTCTGCAACTCTTGACGAGTGACCATTGGATTTTTGTTTAGTTTTCAACAGCTTTCACTTTTTCTTATACCTTGCATTGAATGAACTAATGGTAGTGAATGGAATTTTCAAATTGTCTGATTTTTTTTCCTGTAACGTTTACCTTCTTTCCAGAGGTTAACAATCAGTTCTTTTTGCGAATTTGTCAATTCTTTACCTCTAGACACGATGAAAACCTTCTTGCACGAATATCAATTACAGAATATTCTGTTTAAAAGTTTTAGGCTAAAAATGAATACTGATAACATTATTGGAACATTCTAGAATATTCCACTTGAATATTCTAGAGTATTAAAGCAATTTAAAAATTTTAAAACCTGAAATTTGCATTGTACGAATACTTTTTTCACCCATTAAAACGGATAAATGGGATTTATTTCTATTAAATCAAAACTTTTTTCTGTGTCCTACGCATATTTAATTATTACGCATCTGTGTACAGTTAATTATATGAAAAGTATATTTATTCATAAGTTGGAAATACAAGAAATTAAATATTTGGACGTGGACTGATACGTGTTTTACCTCACTGTATATATCAGGCCGGTAAAGGGAATTAATACTGTTTATTCAAAAAAAAAAGCAGAGCCTTTACTTAAATAAATTGTATCTATTAAAATATCGTATAAGCAGAAAATATATTAAATAATTGTCGGACTTAATCCATTTCATGATAGATAGATAGATAGATAGATAGATAGATAGATAGATAGATAGATAGATAAAGGAATATTTTTATCTATTATGAAATTTTATGACTTACATTAATGTCCTGAATTACATTGCAGATCACTTCCATCATCTTGGCAAAAAAATTACCTATATACCCGTGTATAAGTCGACTTCATGTATAGTGCGACCCTGAATTACTTTTAGACTCTTTAAAAAAAAAATACTTGTGTATAGTGCAACCGGTCACCGAAAAAATTTTAACCCCTTCAAAAAATTACCTGTGTATAGTGCAACCGTTCACTGAAAAATGCATGATTTTTAGCCGCTTTAAAAAAAATTACTTGTGTATAGTGCAAGCAGTCACCGAAAAATTTTTAATCCCATCAAAAAAATTACCTGTGTATAGTACAACCGTTCACTGAAAAATGCATGATTTTTAACCTCTTTTAAAAAAATTACCTGTGTATAGTGCAACCAGTAACCGAAAAAATTTTAATCCCTTCAAAAAAATTACCTGCGTATAGTGCAACCGTTCACTGAAAAATGCATGATTTTTAGCTTCTTTAAAAAAAAAATTACTTGTGTATAGTGCAACCGGTCACCGAAAAAATTTTAACCCCTTCAAAAACATTACCTGTGTATAGTGCAACCGTTCACTGAAAAACGCATGATTTTTAGCCTCTTTTAAAAAAAAATACCTGTGTATAGTACGACCCCTTATTTTTGCGTAAAAAACTATAAAGTATATATGATAATCAAAATGGTTTCCTGAGGAGTTCTCTTGTTTCTTCCTGTGCCTCATTCTATTCTTCCTTCGTTTGTTTTTCTCTTCCTCTACTTCAGATGTCATTCAATCGGTTTGAACATCGCTTTCACTTTTTATTCTATTTCGACTTCTTCCCTTCCTGTCCTCTTTCTTCCACAATCTGTACAACCCCCACCGAGGTCCGTACGCATACACAGACCCAAAGAGAGACTGACAAGCAAAGTGTTATAGTCTTACGCACGTCTACCGATACAGACTGTATTTCCACCGTGTCTCAAACAATGTTTTCTTATTTTTGGTCTCTTTTGATCCAACTTTATTAATTATCTATAATCCGATCTTAGTCTCTTACAGATGCTTCTTTTAATTTTTTTTCAATTTAACATAAAGACACAGAGCTTAAACCCGGACCGTGGACACGAAGGAGCTCGCCATCGACTCACTACCTGTCTGATCACTTGTTATTTAGCAACCGTGTCGTCCATCTTAATCCACGAGATCCCAGTATCACGCGGCACACAACTGAATTACCTAATCCAAATAGAAATCGATTTTTTTTACTTGTAACCAGAATTTTAGCTCAACCGGTAAAGCTATAGTATGCGTCAAAAATAACAAAATCCTAATTTTCTTCTGAACTCTCGATAAGTTAACCAAATAAAGAGATTTCTGAGAGTGAAAGAGAATAAGAAGACTTTAGAATGAACCAGAAACCCAATGCTAAGCAAGAAACAAGGAATAAACCTCTATTGTTCATATATATATATATATATATATATATATATATATATATATATATATATATATATATATATATATATATATATATATATATGTTGTGGATTCCAGGTTAAAATCCGGTACCAATAAATAACAAACGCCAGGAATGAATATATGAAAATAATATATTAACGTAATAATACAAACTGGTAAAGCAGGTTAGTAGTTCCAGGAATACGGGTTAGTAGGAAAATACATGTACAATATTTGGTATTGAAGTATCGCTGTGTGACTTCTTACTGAGTCTACGTGCTCGATCACTGTGACTCCTACAACGCTGTTACCTCACCCCTCACACTTCCGGTTACCTACAACTTTTTACTCTGTCACTCTGGACTCGACTCGACTCGACTCTTCGGTCTTGCTCTCGGGTCTTCCCGTAGCAGTAGCATATGTATCTACTGGGTGAGTCCAATTGTGTAAAAAGGGGTGGACCCCTCAACGATATATATAAATGGGATGGGCAAGTGTTGTTTAGAACGTTCGCTTTCTGACCATGAGACCCGGGGTGATTTATCAGGGAGGTCTGGATTCCACCGTGCGGCACCTTTGGAAAGTGCCTAAAACAATACCACGGGTTGCCCCAAGCCTTGTGAGTGAAATTGGGTAAACGTAACACTTGGAGGCCGTCGATAGCTGTGCTCGCAGGAAGTCATGAGGTTTTGAGAGTGCTGTCTTTGTTCAGATTGTTGATCCAACTTTATTAATTGTCTATAATTCGATCTTAGTCCCTTACAGATGCTTCTCTTACATTTTTTTTCAATTTAACATAAAGACACGGAGCTTAAACCCGGACCGTGGACACGAAGGAGCTAGCCATCGACTCACTACCTGTCTGATCACTTGTTATCTAGCAACCGTGTCGTCCATCTTAATCCACGAGATCCCAGTATCACGCGGCACACAACTGAATTACCTAATCCAAATAGAAATCGATTTTTTTTTTACTTGTAACCAGAATTTTAGCTCAACTGGTAAAGCTACGGTATGCGTCAAAGATAACAAAATCCTAATTTTGTTCTGAACTCCTCTATAAGTTAGCCAAACAAAGAGATTTCTGGGAGTGTAAGTGAATAAGAAGACTTTATAATAAACCAGAAACCCAATGCTAAGCAAGTAACAAGGAATAAACCGCTGTTGTTCAAAAGACCGGGAATAAACCTCCACTTCTGTTCAAAAGAATTCAGGGGTCGCATTGTACATGAATTTTAGTTATACACGAGTATATAGGGTTTTTTTTACCAAGAAGATGGAAGTGATCTGTAATGTAATTCAGGACATTAATGCAAATCATAACATTTTTTAATAAATAAAAATTATTCCTTTATCTGAAAAGTGGATTAAAAATTCGGTTGATAATTTCGATATAACAATGGAATCATTGAATTCTGCAAAGCCTTCTGGTTTAATTAGATTGTCTTTTATTACACAACCTTACAGCGTATGAAGACATTCATTTAAATAGTATACACCTCTATAGGGACGATGGTCACATGGTTGTAAATAACTCGACTGGAAGTAAAGTTGATGAACTTAACAAAATAATTCATAGAGTATTTAAATCTTTTAGTCTTAGCGTAAAAATTAATTCCACTATTAAGTTGATTTCCTAGACATAACTCTAAATTTAATTCTCAATAATTTTCTTCTAAAATTAGGTTTGTAGAAGATTATGGTTGTTCCCGAAAGAAAAACAAAAACAGGAATATCATATGGTATACACCTTCATTCAATCAATTAGTTCATACTAAATGGTATACACCTCAATTCAATCAATTAGTTGGTACTAAGTTGGGACAAAAGTTTCCAAACTTAATTAATAAACGTTTTTCTCAAAGTAATTCATTAAGTAAAATTTTCAATCAGAATACTCTAAAACTTATCTATAGTTGTACTAATAATCTAGAGAAAATAATTAAATCACACAACAATAAAACACTGAAATTATATAACAATAATAACTGTAATGCTAGTACTGATTCTAATTTGTCTCTTAAAACTAACCTATGTAACTGTAGTAATCCTAACCAATGTCTTTTATCTAACAAGTGCTTAACGAAATCGCTTCTGTATATGTGTTCTATTCCACCAATTGAAAATCCCAGGATTGTTAAAATATATATTGGGAGCACAATGAATACTTTTAAAATATGTTTGTATAATCATCTTTCATCCTTTACAAATGCTGACAAACGAAATATGATTTCACTTTCTAAATATATTTGGAAATTGAAAGAGGAAAACAAAATACCTAAAATTAAATGGAAATTTCTCAAACTAGCCAGAATCTGTAGAACGGTGACGGAACCGTGTTTCCTTTATCTACTGGAAAAATGCAGATAATTAAACTCTTAAATAGAAATCAATTATTAAATCAGAGATATGAAACTACGGTAAATTGCAAGCATATTAAGGAATTAACCTTACAATCTTGCTAGGAAGCTTTAAAGAAAGTAGAAATTAAAAAGAAACTTGTAATCAGAAAGACATCGTTGACATTTTCCTAAAATACATAATGAAGAAAGTGGGGCTAGAAAATTTAACAGTCACATTTAGATATTAAACTGCTCCAACTGAACGGCAAAAATTCCTAGTAATGAAAGACCCGGTCGAAGACGGGTTATATTGCTAGTTTTACCTAAAACATTTTTTAACATTTAGATCTGCCAATTTTTTCCTGACACACACTCAAGAAACAGAAAGACAACAACTGTGGTAGTTTATGCTTGATACAGGCATGTTGCCATGATAATAGGCCAAGCTGACTTGCTCAACCATACTACATAAACACTGGCTAATATGCAAAATAGATATAGGTACTCATCTATATCTATAATTCTCAAAATGTGTGTATGTATGTGTGTGATCGGATGTTGTTTAAGCGTTTCCACATTTTTCATCCAATTTCGATGAATTTTTTGTTTTGTTTGGGAGATAATTCTTCAGTGCCGGTTTTGAGTCCAAACTGGCCCGAAAAATGACAACCTTGAAGGTGATCTCGGCTTCAGTCACTTTCACGCCGCCGTAAAGATACTTCCCCGGGACTTTCCTATAAATACTTTCATGGTCATTATTCGGCTGAGCTGTTCGCTATGGTACCTAGAATTTAATTGCAATCCTAGACTGGAAACGACATCTCACCAGTGTACGTTTTGATTTGGCTAGATGTAACCGTAAGTTCTATGCTAAGAGGTTATTTTCTCGCACTTCTCGCTTGTGGAACTTTCTTCCGGTTCCATGCTTTTTGGCCAACCTTGACCTTCGAAAATTTAAATGCAATGTCAATCGCTATCTACTGTCCGTCTGATTACTCTTTTCTCGCTCATTAGTGAAGCTCCTGTTCCTAGTTCTCGAAGTGGAAAGACTATATTGAATCCATTGCTGGGTCAGCTGCTAAGAAAGTTGTCGTGGTAGACATTTTTTTCTCTCCAGAATCCATCTTATTTATCTATAAGTCTCCATGCTTCGAATATTGCTGCCACATAAGATCCGGTGCTCCTGTTATATATCTAGAGATCCTTGCTAGAATCCAAAGAAGAATCAGCAACATTATTGGTCCTTACCTGGCGTCTCGGCTTCAATCAATTGTCCACCGACGTAAAGTTGCTTCCCTGTGCCTTTTCTATAAATACTTTCATGGTAATTGTTCGGCTGAGCCCTTCGCTATGGTACCTAGACTTTATGAATTTAATTGCAATACTAGACTAGAAACGACATCTCATCAATATACGTTTTCATTTGGCTAGATGCAACCGTAAGTTCTATGCTAAGAGTTTCTTTTCTCGCACTTCTCGCTTGTGGAACTCTCTTCCGGCTCCATGCTTTCCAGCCAACTTTAATCTGCAAAAATTTAAATCCAACGTTAATCTCTATATACTGTCTTCCTGATTACTCTTTTCTTTTTCAGCTCATTATTAATGTTTCTGTTCCTAATTCTTCCGCACCCTGTAACCCCTCGTGTTTTACTGGCTTTACTGTTTTGCAATAGGGGGATACCGATTTTTTTTAAGTTCTGGCTCTTTTTTTCTGGGTGAGGCTTAAAACATTTTAACAACCCTCCGAACGAATGAGTCAGGCGAAATACATGACATCCATGTGAAAGTTTCGATCTGAGGAACCTGTTTAAGAACAGTCAAGTCATTATTTGGGTTTTGTAGCATCTTATGGCGTTGGACAATATTACCTCTCACCTAAACTATCCTGTCTTCAGTTTCCTTATCTCCTATAACCAAAAACTTTTTATGACTGATAAATCTCCATAGTTTTACTTATCATATATACATCCGTTTTGACAATCGCCAAGTTGGCGTCATCTGCAGAATACATACCCGGTCGGGATCGGCTGAAAATAAATACTTAAAAATATTATATCAGACTGTAGAATATATTAGGTCATTTCTTCCATCTATCAGGTCATCCTATAAGTTCTGTCCGAATTTTGAATAAAGAAAACAAGTGACCAAATGTTACATTTAATTACAGATTCAATCAACAATGTATTTTCCCTGATTATCTATGACTTTCTTCCATCTATCAGGTCATCCCATAAGTTCTTGATTTATTTTGTATGTTTTAACCTGTGGATTTTTTTAAGAACATGTGACCATACACGTCATTATCAGAAAATAAGAGCGATGACTATAGTAAATCTAAATCCCAAATTTCTAAAATTCAATTTAGATTAAGGAGAATATTTTCCTTAATGTTTATGATTACGTACGTAATTTTCTTCAATTATGTTTTACAAATAAAGTCTGCGTAGCACAACATTATATCTCTCGTCACGCTATCAATGCAGCTACCGGCGGGTTAAATAAATGCACTTCTGCGATGTTTTAAACTTAAACTAAATAATATTCGTTTAAAATCAGATTAATTAAACTTTAATTCTTCAAATAAAATTTTTAGAAAAGTACATGTTATTTTTTAAAAGATTTTTTAATAAAGAAATTACATTGCGATGAAAGATGACTAACAAAAAGGTCGCTAATCAGCGATTTTAGTAAAATAAATAAATATATAAAATAAAAAAAAAAAAATAAACTCCTTTCATTCAATTTAAATTAGTTTTTGTAATGCAGCAAAGCATTTTGATCATTGGAAATATTAAATTTAATCTATTAGCTTCAAATTAAAGCTAAAAGAAAAACTTCCAGAAACATTTTTCATTTTTAAAAATTCATTTTAAAACTTAGGTAACGCGTATTTTTTTTAGATTCCTATTATCAGGTCATCCCATAAGTTCTGTCCGAATTTTAAATAAAGAAAACAAGTGACCAAATGTTACATTTAATTACAGATTCAATCAACAATGTATTTTCCCTGATTATCTATGACTTCCTTCCATCTATTAACAAGCTTACTAATTCCATTACTGTAAAATTCTTTTGGCTTTGATTCGAAGAACTCACAAATGTCAGTTTTAACCTCTTCCTGTGATACAAAAGCTGTTTCTTCCAAATGATTCTGTAAGCTTCGAAACAAATGGTAGTCTGAAAGAGCAAGATCGGGAGAATAAGGTGGATGAGGAATTTTCTCCCAACCAAGTTCTTCGATCTTTTGTGACGTGATTCTTGCATTGTCCTGATGAAACATCACCTCTTTTCGATTCACTAGAGCAAGTCTTTTTTTCCTCAAAGCTTGGTTCAAACGCTTTCATTGTTGAGAGTATATTTGAGTGGCTTCCCGCCTTGCTTGGGGTGAAACGCTTAATATATATATATATATATATATATATATATATATATTAATAAAAACAAACCACTTTAAGGTTCCTTGTAATAAGTTATTTCACCATAACCCCTTTAACAGGGCTCTGGATCATCAGACTTTACTTCCAAATCTGCTCTGAATTTACATTGCGCTCTCTGGATATCATCCTTCAACCTTTGAAAGTAAAGTCTGAAGATCCAGAGCCCTGTTAAAGGGGTTGTGGTGAAATAACTTATTACATGGGACCTTAAAATGGTCTGTTTTTATTCAAACATATCTGCTCTGAATTTACATTGAGCTCTCTGGATATCATCCTAACCATAATATTGCCGGAAACAATTGTGAGACAAAATGTTTTAAATTTGCATTGTTTTTTAAAAATCACACCAAAACTACTGCACTGTTTAATATGTTATATCATAATATAGATATTATAATTTCCCTTTGAAGTAAATGAAGGTCTTATTTGATGGCACAATGATTTAGTAATAATTCGCTTGTACTAGGCATCTTGTCCATATACAATTCGTAAATACATTTTATCCGGCATCGTTGACAAAACTAACCTGACCGTAAGGCCTCGAGAAGGGCCTCAAGAAGGACCTCCAATCTCTGGTTGACTGGAGCAGAAAAAAGACTTGTAAACTTTAATGCCTCTAAAACGAAACTGCTCTCATTGACCCACCAAAGAGAACCCTCCCTGCTTCCTATCAGGATGGCTGATGTCCAACTCCATGAGAGCGCCTCTCTGCGCCTCCTTGGTCTCACGCTGTCCACTGACTTGAAGTGGAAAAACTACATTGAATCTATAGCTTCATCTACCGCAAGGATGGTTGGTTCTCTGTGTCGCGCCAGAAGGTTTTTCTCGCCTGACTCCATCCTTCAAATCTACAAATCAACCATTCGTCCTTGCATGGAATACTGCTGCCATATACAGTCTGGTGTCGTCGCTGTTCATCTCGAGGTCCTCGACAAAATCCAGAGACGGATATGCAACGTGGTTGGGCCTGATCTGGCATCCCGTCTGCAGTCGCTAGATCACAGACGTGTGGTGGCTTCCCTCTGTCTTTTCTACAAGTATTTTCATGGTAGCTGCTCCGACGAGCTACTTTTGCTGGTTCCATGAATTTAAGCGTGCTACTAGGTTGGCATCTCGGTTCCACACTTTCGCTGTCGAAACGGCTAAATGTAGCCATCACTTCTACTCCAGCAGCTTCTTATCTCGCACTTCCCGTCAATGAAACTCCCTTCCTCTTACTTGCTTCCCTGATAGCTACGATCTTCAAATATTCAAATGTAATGTCAATCGACATCTTCTGATGCCTTGTACTTGATTCCTGTCTTTCTCTTTATATTTTTCCCAAACACTCCTCTTTACTCTTGCTCTCACTCTCTGTAACCCCCTTGCGTGCTAGTGGCACTCCAGCCTTGTTTGGGGTGATTTGATTAAAAAAAAAAAAGGGTGTGCTATCAGGCTTTCACTGATCCCCGGAATTAAATTCCAACGCTAAATTTTTTAGCCTAAAATTATTCTTCAAATTCGTTTCCTCAAAAAAATAGTTAGAAAAAATATTTTCTGTCCTTATTTATCAAGTCAGACGCCAGCTTGCAAATTGAGGGCTATCCCACGGTTCCAAAATCGATCTGCCCTAATAGAACAATGGCTATTGATACGGAAAATAGAACCGAAAAGCCGAGTTCAAATTCTGATCGGGTCTGTTAACGTTCACTTCGCACTAATGCCATACAAAAAAGGCATGAATTCATCTCTTCTCTTCGAAGCTACGAATTAAATATCAAGATAAACTAAGCCCAGTAGACTTGAATGGCTGCCAGGCTAAACAAAGGACAACTATGAAGACCAAATAACAAGAACCACATAACATAAACATTGAAAATGGGTCGAGAAGAGAAAATAATGGTCTAATCGAGTTGTAAACAATACACAATTCTATTAGGTGTCGAAAGTTGATAGATAGATAGATAGATAGATAGATAGATAGATAGATAGATAGAAACAGAATGAGATAGATAGATAGATAGATGTAAGCATGCATAAAGATAGATGTGAACCGGCTGATAGATAAATAGAAACATACTGAGATAGATAGATAGATAGATAGATAGATAGATAGATAGATGTAAGCATGCATAAAGATAGATGTGAACCGGCTGATAGATAAATAGAAACATACTGAGATAGATAGATAGATAGATAGATAGATAGATAGATAGATAGAAACAGACTGATAGACAGATATATAGATAGTATACAAACATAGATAGATAGATAGATAGATAGATAGATAGATAGATAGATAGATAGATAGATGTAAGCATGCATAAAGATAGATGTGGACCGGCTGATAGATATATTTATCTATCATACTGAGATAGATAGATAGATAGATAGATAGATAGATAGATAGATAGAAACAGACTGATAGACAGATATATAGATAGTATACAAAGATAGATAGATAGATAGATAGATAGATAGATAGATAGATTGTTCAGCTCCTAAACTTAAGAAGCAATAACTACCATATAGTTCCCCAATGAATGTCTCACCTCCATGACACTAAAATGTCAAACTAAGTAAATGCAAATAAGACCTTACAATGAAACTCTACTCTTCTGAAACTATTCTTGTGCATGCCACTTCTTTAATTATTTTTTTATATAGGCAACGTTTTAACACCAACCTTAGATTAGGGAGATCTATAAAGTGTTTTTTTTTGTTTTTTGTTTTTTGTTTTTTTTTTTACTGTTACCTTGTGTCAGTTGTGACTAAACAAGTTAACCTATATCCTTTCTCTAAAAGTTCATCACTCTGAGGTCACGTGAACCATTAAAATGCTTCAGGCGTATCATGAGACTTTTCGAATATAATCAGTCGCTTTTGAAAACATTATCGTCTTACAATTCCTTCCCCAAGTTGCCGCTTTGAAATGTTTTCAAATATCTCTTATCTGCTCGCGACCCAGGAGAAGAAAAAAAATGCCACTGCTTATCGCTTGGACGTAAGCCGATGGAAATCGGCTCCGTACAGTTCCGCCATTGTTTTGGAAATATTACAGGCTCTGTTTTCCTCGTCAACACGCCATCATCTCGCAGCGTTATCAACGCGAGAGGCACCAAGTCTCGCCCAATTTCTCGACTTGACTCGACACAAAGAAAGGGTAAGAATTTATCAAGCATTCGTATGGGCAGCGCAAACAAGTTAATAATTTACAATCTTATTTTCGGCTAGAACATAAATAAAAAAATAAATAAATGAATCTCTTCAGTACTGCTGATAAATAAAGATGGTGATCAGAGATAGGGACGCGACAGCCATCGCTACGCACGGAAATAAACCGAATGGAAATAAGGACAAAAAATTTTTAAGAGTTATGCAACAATGAATCAGCCTGTTTGGAAAATAATATCATATTTTTGGAGAGGTAAAAAGCATTAAATTTATAGGGAAGTCTAGGATAAGAAAGGAAGCAGATTATGTTGTCGACTATATTTGGAATCCAGAGATATTCGTGTCCATTCTGTGATGTGTTATCTGCTTCTACGATGAAATCATTTGTTTAGGCCCATCACGTAGGTACTTGGAAGTTAACGGTTCCACAACAACGTTTACGCGAACGAAGAACGCACACACGTCTAAGAACGTAGGCAAGAAGCGTCATTCAAAAGGGCGGGATAGTACGAATAAAATCGAAGGAAATTAAGATATGGAGTCGATTTGGAATCCTAAAATGATTCTCTTCATTTTTTGTATAATTTGTGTTAGCACAATTTTTTTTTCTCAGTCGAGTTACGACCATCCTGTGTATGACGATAAACTACATCCGCGTCCTTTGTATGACGATAAACTACGTTCGCTTCCTGGGTATGACGATAAACTACGTCCGCTTCCTGGGTATGACGATAAACTACGTCCGCGTCCTAGGTATGACGATAAACTACGTCCACTTCTTGGGTATGACGATAAACTACGTCCGCGTCCTGGGTATGACGATAAACTACGTCCGCTTCTTGGGTATGACGATAAACTACGTCCTCTTCCTGGGTATGACGATAAACTACGTCCGCGTCCTGGATAAGACGATAAAATGCGTCTGTGCAAGCGTCTGCAACAGGGATTGGCTAGCCACCCTAGTAGACGGGTATTCCCGAATACGAGTGGCCAGCTATACATATATGAAGCAACTTTCTTTCTTACCCTAAACCCCAAAATCGCCTTTGATACACCTTTTCTTCCGTTTTGTGAGCAAGTTATAGACAAGTTATACCTGTAAATCAAACTGGAATGGTCCTTTGTTTATCTCGTGTAATGACAGGGCGTGACGTACGTGTTAACTAATTAACCAATGAACCAAGGAAAGAGCAAAATTATAGGGACTGTTTTGGGATGTCAGTTTAATATTCCCAAAAGCGTTATTTGTCCCTTTTCTTTGATTTTAATAAGTCTCTTTTTATATTTTAGAAAATTTAAAAAGTGCATTTTTTTAACTTAATATTAAAATAAAGAAAATAGAAAAATTGGCAGTCATCAACCTGAAACCTCCTGACGAGTGGACCGAATGAATGAATGAAAAAAGTTTCGTCTACGAAACTCTTGATTCGGGATGCTGAATATAGCATCAATCAGCTAGGTGACAAATTTTATATTTGTATTAATCCTATATATATATATATATATATATATATATATATATATATATATATATTTTATATATATATTTATATGTGTGTGTGTGTGTGTGTGTGTGTGTGATTACGGATTTTAAGCCGTCCTGGGTATAACGATAAACTACATCCGCCTCCTGGGTAATACGATAGACTGTCCAACAGCAAGGCCTCTAATCAGGAGGTTTTGAGGAACGTGGAACCACCTCTTAATTGCTGGTGTCCCCAGGTCCACCCTGACCCGGAGTGGTGGCAGCTATCAGGGTCCCAGCTATGGGCAAATAGTTAACACACAAACTGGGGTCAAAAGACTATAAAAGTGTAAAAATAGGTTTTAATACCAGGAATACTTTGTAAGAAAATTATTATCTTACTTATTATAAAACGCAGATTGTGTGTGTCTGTGTGTGTGTCTGTAACGTTTATATGTTGGATCGGATTTCCTACATTTTTTAGCCGATTTTAACAAAACTTCACAGGACTACATAAAATTACCTTGTGGTGGTTCTAACGGCGCCGAAAATGGGAAAACACAATTTTTTTTTTAACAAAATCTATTTGAAAACACGATTAAGACACATCGTGAGAATGAAAGGCGGACAACTCACATCGGGTTAAAAAAAACAGGTTGTGTGTGTGTGTGTGTGTGTGTGTGTGTGTGTGTGTGTGTGTGTGTGTGTGTGTTCCTTTATATATGGGATCGGATTTCTTACATTTTTCAACCGATAAAACAAACATCCACTTTTTTTTTTTGGCAGGTAGTGTTTCTTATTGTCTTGCACACTTTTTTCTTTATTTATACATTCAGAATGCTTTAAAAATTCCATTTACAAGACAATTGTTTATAATAAAATTCTATTCAATCAGTAGACTCATAACGATTGAAAACAATGTTTTTGTTTGAGTTAGGCTTTGACCAATTCCTAAAAAAAAAAAAAAAAAAATCTAATTAAGACATGCGTGTCCGTCAACCTTAAACAATAATCTTTGTCAATTTTATTTTTCAGTCTTTATGATGGTCGATACTTGATCTATCTCTTACTGTTACATCCCCGGGCAACGCCGGGCTCTACTGCTAGTCAACAATAAATTTTTGAGGAAAAAATTATTACCAGCAATACATTGTTACCAACTACACATTTTTTGAAAAATGAAAAAGAAAATATATATTACCAGCAATGCATTTTTGGAAAAATTTATTACCAGGAATAACAATCTCGTCGGCATCGGCACCATTGAGATTGATATGTCGTAAAACAAGCCAAATTAAACCAATCGAGTTATGAATGTTGGCCGGAAATTAATACCCATTCTCTTTAATTACAACAGGTTTAATAACAGAAAAACACAAAGTATTCCAAAATGAACGCAAAGGCCCCAGGATTCCAAACCAAGTCTTCCAAATAGTCACCTTTCTTCTCAGTCGTGGTGTTGTGTCCGCTACATATATCAAAAGTGCTTACATCTTAAAACACACCAATAAAAACATAAAATAAAAATCCGAAAGGTTCTTTTATAAGTCATCAGGATTCAGGTAGATCTCGCCAAAATATCGTGTGGATGGCACGTGGTCGGGCATTCTGACAATAAGACCCGGGTTCGAATCTCACCATAGTCGATTTGTCAGAAAGGAGACTTTAGTTACAGTTTCTGGAAGAGAGCATGTTATCTAGCGTGATCAACAATCTGAACAAGGCCAGCATCTCGGATAGACAGATAGATATGAACAAATTAAGATAGATAGATGTGAGCAGACTATGATAGAGAGAGGCATAGATATGAACATATAGATAGATGTGAGCAGAATATGATTGATAGAGAGATCGCAATGAACAGATAGAAAGATGTAAACAGTCATATAGATTGATAGTTGTGAACAGGAAAAGAGATAGCACAACTACCAAGGGTTCCGTCTACCCAATTTCACTCACCAGGCTTGGGTCAATCCGTGTTATGGTTTTCAGTCACTTTCCAAAGGTGCTGCATACTGGGAATGACCCTTCCATTCTTATAACATCAGGAAGTCTCCTTCCTGACAAATCGATCATGGTGAGATTCGAACCCGGGTCTCATGATCAGAATGCGAACGTCCTAACGGACACTAGATTTAATAGTAGAGTCAAACAAAACATATACCAAAATGGACACAAAAGATTTGGAATTTCAAATCTAATCCTCAAGATAGTCACCATCCTTCTAAATCGGGCTATTAGGCTAGGTAAAAAAAAACAAAAACAATACATGCTCTTCTTTAATTATATAAGACTTCTTCGAAGAATCCCACAATCATACCAAAAGGATTGCAAAAATCTCAGTATTTAAAATATAGTTGGCCATATAGTTTAGAAAATACATCGTTGTTCATCATGTCAACCAAGAGAAAGAAGACCAGAAAATTGAGAGGACATGTCAGCCATGGCCACGGCCGTGTAGGTAAACACGGGAAACATCCTGGAGGCAGAGGAAATGCTGGTGGCATGTTACATCACAGAATAAACTTTGACAAATTTCATCCCGGGTATTTTGGTAAAGTTGGTATGAGACATTACCATATGCTGAAGCATCATTACCATTGTCCTATCATAAATGTGGATACTTTATGAAGTTTGGTTCCTGACCAGACTAAGTCTGACTACATGAAAATCAGACCAGAC